AATGTGGATAAATTTTTCCCATATAGAAGATTGAAGAAAAGGATTTTTTAGTGCCCTGGAGACATTATGTACATTTGTTTTCATGAAAGCCAAGAGGAAACAGTGGTGATAGTTACACCTTTAGTTTTACTACATTTGTCAACCCAGGTGAAAAAGAAATGTCCCAGTGAAGTCCACGAGAACACATTACTTGACTTTTAACAGAATTAAGCTTTTTGGGTTCATTTCTGTTAGAAGGCTTTCTGCCACCATCAGATTTCAAATACCTAGAGGAATTTAAAGAATTATAGTTTGGGAAATGTTAAGCTTGCCTTTTTTTTCCTTAGGTTCATGAGGTTTGACTCATATTGCCTTCCTGTGCTTTTGTCACCTCCCACTGAAGGAGGGAAGGCTGGTGATCCTGACAGAAGTGTCAGAACTACTAGGGGATAAGTGGGGTCCTGGGTTTCTGGTCAAGTGCAGACAGTTGCAGAGACAGAAAACAAGGCTTTAGACCTAATCCAGTCCACAGAATCACCCCCAAGTGGATCCTAATCATCTCTGCCAGCTCTGTGGTGTGTGATAGAAAGTGGGACCAGATAAGGCCATAACTGCTAAAACTCTGTTTCAGGTTTGTTTGAAATCCATGGAGCAACGGTTGTTCCCATTGTGAGTGTGGTTGCCCCCGAAAAGCTGTCAGCCAGCACCAGAAGGCGGTATGAGACTCAGGTACATGGTCAGAGTGTTCTTGGCTTTCTAACATGAGCCACAGAGGAGGAAGAAAACAAGAAAGGGAACGAAGGAACAGTTTCCTGGAAATGTTTTTCTTCCCAATTCCTGAACTTGGTGACTTCTGAAAAGTTCACCAACACAAAGCATCACAGGTGCCAAGATTCTGCCCCGTTTGTCCTCCAAAGAGGCCTCAGTGTACACTGTGGACACCCAGAAGCAGCTGTTGTCAGAATTACCGAGTCCAAGCAAAAAGTTTCTGATCCCATTTGGTTTTGTTGTACATAACAAAGCAGAAGAGATCTACCACAAGACGTGTCGCAGGTTTCTCACTGCATACATGTTTCTGGTATCTTGTTATTTGCCTGATTCTGTGCTAAGTGCCAGGTAAAATGGAAAACACATGACATGGCCCCGTCCTCAAAGACTTTATAACCTTAGAAGCATATATATAGTTGGAGAATAGAAGAAAATCAGTAATAGGATGCTGAGTTAAGTATACTGAATAAGGGTTAGCGTATGCTACAGACATGGGGGGAGAGAGAGATCAGTGTTTGTATGGATGATCAAGACAGGCTTCATGGAGGTGATCCCCGAAGGACTCCAGTAGGCAGAGGGAGAGGTGCGGGTGTCCAATGGGAGGGACGGAGGGAAGGACGGTGTGGACAGAGCTAATGAGCGGAGTCAGGACACAGGCCTTATTGGGAGTGGGGTATGAGAGGGTAGCCATTATGAGGAGTGTAATTAGACTGAACACAAAAGATCAAGTTACCTCATTTTGTTAGCTTTCCTGGCTATTTCTCAGTGTGTTGGGTGGAAACTCACTTTTCATATCTATGATATTTCAGTTCCATGTTCTCAATGCTGTCACTGTCCCCTTCTTAAATTTAGCTTAATACTAAAGTCTCCCTGCTTCCACATGCACTGTTTTATTACAGTACTGAGCTTTTATTACATGTCAGTTCAAAATTATAAAGAAATAATTAGTAAGCAGATTAGTAAACAAATGATCAAGGTAGGCTATAAAATCTCATTTTCCCTGAGGTTGTAATACACTAGACACTCATCTTACTGAGGTGGATGAAGAGCAAGTCCTTATATAATATTTGGTTTGTCACCTGTGATTGTTTCCTAGAATAAGAACTGAAATGGCAAGAAAGATGGCTTGATTGGAATTCTAACACACTTTCCTTCTTGTTAGGTACAAACCCGACTTCAGACCTCCCTTGCTAACTTACATCAGAAAAGCAGCGAAATTGAAATTTTGGCTGTAAGTCACTTTCTTTAACTTTCTGAGGATGGCTTCTGTCCACACTGTCAAATTTTTGCTCATAGTCAACAGAATTGGGATACCGGCCTGTTTCTCCTAGTTTCTTCCTCTGAAAGATTGGGAGGGGGACTGAAAATGAAAATCATTTTTCTAAATGTTTCAGGCTTCCCTGATAGTTCAGTTGGTAAAGACTTTGCCTGCAATGGAGACCCTGGTTCCATTCCTGGGTTGGGAAGATCCACTGAAGAAGGGATAGGCTACCCACTCCAGTATTCTTGGGGTTCCCTCATGGCTCAGCTGGTAAAGAACTCACCCGCAATGTGGGAGACCTGGGTTTGATCCTTGGGTTGGGAAGATCCCCTGGAGAAGGGAATGGCTACCCACTCCAGTATTCTGGCCTGGGGAATTCCATGGACTGTATAGTCCATGGGGTTGCAGAGTCGGATACGACTGAGCAACTTTCACTCTTCACTTTGCAGGCCTTTGCAGGTAGTGCTGCCAAAGCTTTGCGGTATGATGTGTTAGTTCTGAGTGCTGAGATCACATCACTGCCAAATTCAGTAAGCAGCACGGAAGCATCCCATTCATGCTGCTCCATCCAAAGTGACACCACAGTCACAAGTCAGTATGTGCTGCTTAGGATCCCTGACATGATGTACATTTTTGTGTATCAACAGGTGGATCTACCCAAAGAAACAATCTTACAGTTTCTGTCATTAGAGGTAAGCAAGATGAACTTTTCTGCACTATTAGTCTTTAAAATCCCAAAGTTTGCTGTTGATTTGCTAAAAGAAAGTTGAAAGTGGCATTATTTTCTTTGATATGAGGTATTTTTCTAGCAGTCCCAGGAATTTAGGAACATTGTTTCTTTTGTGTGACATGTATTACTAAATCAGATTTTGAGGGAACCACACTTTTCTAGTGTTCTAGTTTTTTTTTTTTTTAACGTTTCAGAGATGTTTTTAACAAATACCTAGGGTTTTTTTTTGTGTGTAGAGCTCTAGCAGGCCTTGTTCTAAGCACTTTAGGAATGTTAACTCGTTTAATCATAACAACCCCAAGGGATACATACCGTTACCTTTTTACAGATCCTTATTTTACATTTTATGGAGAATGGAAGCAGAGAGGTTAAACATCTTACTCAAAGTCACCCAACTAGGGAGTTGCAGAGCCAGGATTTGAACCTAGGCAAACTAGTGGAATCTACACTCTCACCCACTATACTGTGCTGCTTCAAACCTTCACTCCAACCAGGAAAAACTCATCTGCATAACTAAAACTATATGGAAGCTCTTTCTGTAAAAACTGAATGTAGGTCCTTTTTTATATGCTTTTTTTTTAGTAGGTACATACCTTTATTATCAAATAACCTAACTGAACTTTTTAAAAAATTTAATATTTACCTTTGCTATAAGAATATTTAACTGTAAGAAAAGATACATGTGATTTTTGCAGCATATCTAACCAAAGAATACTTTTGTCTATCCAGAGTGTTTAGTCAGATTAAGTTAGATGAAAAATGAACTCTGCCCCAGAACTGACATTTCATGCTATATTTTAAGGTTATTCTCCATTTATATAAAATATTGGTTATATTCCTTGTGCTGTACAATATATCCTGTAGCTTCTCTTATAAGCTGACTTCCCCCTCCCCTGTCCTCCATCCCCACTGGTATTCTCCCATCTGGTAAATAAGCATATAGCATGATACTGGTAATTTACTGCTTCATGAGCCACTCAAATGGGTGCACATCAGAAGTGGCATCTCCATCTCACCTAAAGTCAACAGTTGGCAGAAATTACTGGTGTAGTCACATTAACACACTGGGGCTGCATCATTCTTAGGCAGGATCTAGTAAGCTGGTTTTATAAAGAAATTCAGTTCTTCAAAGGAAGAACACTAGCAGTCTCCCCACTAGTTCTCTCCCCCCTGTAACTGATTTCTTCAGTGTACTTAGAGGGGGGATGGCATTGACACCTCATTAGTGACCCAGGAAAAGCCAATTAATAAACCCTAGTACCTGTTAAGTTTTATCTATATTTTTTCCTAGTGGGATGCTGATGAACAGGCATTTAACACAACTGTGAAGCAGCTGCTGTCACGCCTGCCAAAGCAGAGATACCTCAAATTAGTCTGTGATGAGATTTATAACATCAAAGTAGAAAAAAAGTAAGTTATCACTTAGGCATTGCGGGTTTCAATATAGGTTAAAACTCAAGCTGGGGTCAGGGGGCTGTTGTTTGTTTTTAGGAGTTTTTCCCCAAGAAGGGGTTTTGGAGTGACAAATATGTTATTGTCTTGTTGAGGTTAGATGACTAAGAAGTTACTATGTTAGAACTGCAGTTGGTGACCAGTAAATACATGTCAGGACTGTGAATCACAGTCATGATCTTATCAATAACAACACAGTGATCTCAGTAGCAGCTATCCCAGTTACCATTTTAATCACCCAGGTAACTCCTATGTTTTATGTCCCCTTGTCAGAATGCTTGTTCATGTTTTCAAACACTAAAATGTTTCTAGTGACTAGCCTTCCATCTTGTTTTTGATTACACAGAACTCCTGCAGTTAAGTGTTCTAAAAATAAATTATCAGCCCCGTTCTTTACGCATTACACTGATCCTGTCTTCTCCCTCCTCTTGCAGGGTGTCTGTGCTCTTCCTGTACAGCTACAGAGATGACTACTACAGAATCTTATTTTAATCCTAAAGAACTATCATTACATTGTTCAAACAGACAGGAGCTTATATTACAAAATATTGTACATTCATTGTAATTTTAAATTAGCTTTACATTCTAAGCTGTCCTACAAAGCTCATTGTAGGTTTTTCATGTGTAATATATTATAAATTTATCTTTTGAATAAATGTTTTCATATATTTGTTGCTTTTTAATTGCAAATCTATTAACACTGCAGGGTTTATGGAGCTAGAACACAAGAAAACAGCTTTGTTCTTCTCTTAGCCCTATATACCAAGCATATGAAAATGTCCAAAGTAAAGGGCATAAAGAAATCAAGTATCATCATTAACTTGGAATCTTTATTCTTGATGATTCTCTAATAAGCTTATCCTTAGTCTGGTTAAGCAAACTCTTATTTGGCTATGAAACTCATTCAAATTTGCTAAAGGCACTAAGATGATAAAATTATACAGCCAGCTGGGAAACCCATGAAATAACGCAACTTTTAATAAAATTGTCAGATTTCAGTTCCAGTAAACCACAAGACAGGGCCTCAAGCCTATTCATATCACATCATTCCAGAATGAGGAGCTGTGGCCAGAACCTTTTTATGGGGCAGGAAAAAGAATCAAAGTTGGTCAGTGCTGATAAATACAGGTTAAATAATACACTGCTCTTCACAGATGGCTAGAGAGTCTGTAAACTATTATCCAGGAATATACAACTGTCCAACACAAACCACTTAGCCAGATCTAAGATAAACTGGCTTCTTGTAACTACCCTGTAAACACTGCAGCCCTTCATCCAAAAATGACCCTAATCTCACATGAAAACAGTCATTAAAGGGAGTCAGAAACTCAGCTTTGTGGCCAAAAATAAAAACCAAAGGAAAAATAGCAATTCAGTGGTTAGTTGGTGAAAGCGGGAAAGCTGGTGCCCTTCACTGTGCTGCTTTGCTCTTCTTACTCTTGCTCTTTTTGTCCCTCTTCTTCAGCCCATCCATGTTAGCTCGCAATAGGTTTGAATAAGCCTAAAAGACACAGAGAGTGACCTTAGTGGGAACAGTTGCAAGTTGGTGCAGCATCTGCCCTACTTCTGTAATGGATTTAGGGTTGCCAAAATCAGAAAGCCTAACTGCTAAAGTATAGAATACTATGGGACACTTGTAGCCTAAGCAACATGGTGTAAGGGAAACACCCTCACATTATAGCAGCTTCTGCAACACCCACTAGTGAGCTGCACATTTTTTACTTTTCTTTTAAGCAAAAATGGAAGACTGCAGGCAACTTACATAACTGTACTGTAAGTATGGCATATATGAAGCCTAAGACAACAAAATTTAGCTAAAAAGACAATGTCAGTGTTGAAGTAAAATTTGTAGCTTGGCAGCTTTTACTTGTAAACTATTGGTAAAATACAGTATCACAGGAGAGCAGTGAACTTAAATCACAATCTTAACCCAACCCAGTGTTAAACATTAGGCTGACTCTTGCCTCAAGAAATGGGACCCAGAGAACACCAGAAACTCACCATCTGAAACTTATTCACTTCTTTGGAGCTCACCTGGAAAATAAGGGGGAAAAGATCACCCCTGTTACCACAAAAAAAATCATCTGCCTCACCAGTAAAACTCAAAAGCCTCATGAAGACATCCTAATCTTTAAAAATATTTCTTCCCCACTGTAGGAATGGGAAAGCTATTTTTCTACTCCACTTTCCTCTGCCTGAGGAACAAGTAAAGTAGCTCTGCACTTTTAGAATTGTACCAAGATGGGAAAGATGGGCTGCTTAAGAAGCTATGCTTCTCGCCTCTGTTGAAATCTCTTAAACACACTGCACTGACTTTTTCTAAGGAGTCTAAGAGATGTCAAAGAACTTAACCTTTTGTGCAAGATACATTTAAATTACACCCTCCCCATCTTATTTTAAACTTACCTTCCATTAATTCAGGCCCATTTAAGCAAACTGCAAGCTACCACAAGAGAAATTTTATGTCTGAAGATTCCTTAGTTTTTCGTATTTCATGACACCCAACTTTATTTTTTTTAAGCCACATAAATGCTTGCTTTATTGTAAAAATCTTCTCAAGATACCTAGTAATGGAACATTAATCAACTAATTATGGCCCATATTTTTGTGAATATCCTATACTGATTAGAGGGCAGTCTGGTTCTGCCCCAATAGAATAAAGAAGTATTCATTTGATCCAAGGAGTCTCTTGCTTTGCCATATTCAACTTCCACTTTGAAAGGGAACTCTTATTCAATGTGCCATATGCTCAGTAGTGCAACCCCATGGACTGTAGCATGCAGTCAAATTCAAAACCTGATATAATACATGTTTGGTACCTGAACCACAACCATAAAGGAATATCAGCTTAAAAGTAAAAAGCATCTGGTACCAAGAAACTGTTCACTGAAGCCCCAGCACAGTAAGAGAATAAGGAATCAACTGCCAGCTGCTCCTTTCAGTGCTACTCTGAGTAAGGACCAATGTGCTAATATTTTTTTCTAACAAGTGTTTGACTTCTACCTTCTTCATTTTAATTTTGCTCTTGGCCTTTCTATTACCAAGGTAATAAAAGAAGATCTTGATTTCAAAACAGCTAGGGAACTACACACTAGGCTTTATTTAGTAACTTACCAAAAAAAACCCCACAAAACCGGGTACAAATATAACCCATCCTCAGTTAAGTTCAAGTCTTTAAACTCCAAAACAGGAGTATTAGGAATCCAACTTACCACAGTGCTGATCTTCTTTTTCCCATCAGTAGCTCTTAACAGACATTTGTTGTCTGAGGGCTCAAAGCCCTCCACAGTACCCTTCCTTGGAATGGGTTTAGTTCGGCCATCATCTGCATGGAAAATACATCCTGGTGAACACAGCCACAGACTTAACAGATAGACAAAAAGTTATAAGTCGGGAAGGCATACAAAGAGGATACCTAATCCACCTCCACTGATCTAGTTCTGTTAACCACATTATCTGCTATCATAGATGGCTTGGTCACACCTTGGGAACCTACCTGCTACTCCCACGATGGGCACATTGTAATTTCAAAGCACATTAAATCTCACTAATCATGGCGCGGCTTTGGAATCCTTGACAAGGACAGCCCTGACATGACTGGGGCCCACTGGAACCGGAACTGACTTAGGTGGCTAAGTGCTGGGGGCCGCACTAGCCCCAATCCCTAATACTCTCTGGCCCCTCAGCTCTGAATGGGCCCAGTAGAAGGTGGAGGAAGGTAGGGGAAGCAGAGGATGGGCAGCAGAAAGATTCTGCCTGAGGCTCCCAGTCACTGGGCACCCGGGCCGGTCTTTCGTTCGGCCTCCCAGCCCCCTTCCGGCCTTGCCGCGTCCACAGCTGCTTACACTTCTTCAGGGTGATGAACACGCTGCCCGACAACCGGCACTTCTGGAAGAGCCTAGTCAGCTCCGTCAGGAACTGGAACACAACAAGCCCGGCCCCGTTAGGCAACCACAAACCCTCTTCCCGCCTAGTCAAAGTCCCTGTCCCTCCCGAAGAACGAGACAGAGGTCCCGAGCTAAGCCCCAAACAGCATCGGTCCCTCAGCCGGCCAGCTCTGGCTATACCTGTTCACTCTCCAGCAGCACCATCCTGGCGCTGCTGGCTCCGCTCGGTCAGCACAAGCCCCAAGCCGTTGGAGCCGGAAGTTTCACCCGGCCTGGGCGGGACTTCCGCCATTAGGTTTCTTATCTCTTTCACCCAATCCCTGCTTCCACCGTTCCCCGCCCCACCCACCTCGCGCCCGCGCTCAGGGACGCCCCCTTCTGTTCCGGGAGAGCAACGACCCCGAGGGCCTTTCGCCTCATCCAAGCAGCGGAAGGGAGTGAGAGCGCGGAAGGATTTGATGGAAACCTATAGTTGTGGCTCAGCTGGTAGAGAATCCGCCCGCAATGAGTTCTGGGTTCGATCCCTGGGTTGGGAGGATCCCCTGGAGAAGGGAAAAGCTACCCACTCCAGTATTCTGGCCTGGAGAATCCCATGGGCAAGTCCATGGGGTTGCGAAGAGTCAGACACGATAGAGAGACTTTCCCTTTATAGCTGTGTACATTCAGCTGTGTGTTGGGCAAGTTACCTAGCAGTTCGGTGCTTCAGTTTCCTCAACCTATAATAATAGTTTCCACTTCACAGTGTGGCTTTGAAGAGTAAATGAGCTAATATTAAACACAACAGTGCGCGGCTCATAGAGCCTGCTCAATAAACATTAGCTCTTGTCGTTTTTATCATTGCCATTGTATTCAGTTCAGTTCAGTTCAGTCGCTCAGTCGTGTCCGACTTTTTGCGACCCCATGAATCGCAGCACGTCAGGCCTCCCTCTCCATCACCAACTCCCGGAGATCACTCAAACTCATGTCCATCGAGTCGGAGATGCCATCCAGCCATCTCATCCTCTGTCATCCCCTTCTCCTCCTGCCCCCAATCCCTCCCAGCATCAGGGTCTTTTCCAATGAGTCAGCTCTTCGCATGAGGTGGCCAAAGTATTGAAGTTTCAGTTTCAACATCAGTCCTTCCAATGAACACTCAGGACTGATCTCCTTTAGGATGGACTGGTTGGATCTCCTTGCAGTCCAAGGGACTCTCAAGAGTCTTCTCCAACACCACAGTTCAAAAGCATCAATTCCTCGGCACTCAGCTTTTCTCACAGTCCAACTCTCACATCCATGCATGACCACTGGAAAAACCATAGCCTTGACTAGATGGATCTTTGTTGGCAAAGTAATGTCTCTGCTTTTGAATATGCTGTCTATGTTGGTCATAACTTTCCTTCCAAGGAGTAAGCATCTTTTAATTTCATGGCTGGAATGTGAAGTCAAGTGGGCCTTAGAAAGCATCACTATGAATGAAGCTAGTGGAGGTGATGGAATTCCAATTGAGCTATTTCAAATCCTAAAAGATGATGCTGTGAAAGTGCTGCACTCAATATGCCAGCAAATTTTGAAAACTCAGCAGTAGCCACAGGACTGGAAAAGGTCAGTTTTCATTCCAGTCCCAAAGAAAGGCAATTCCAAAGAATGCTCAAACTACCGCACAATTGCACTCATCTCACACACTAGTAAAATAATGTTCAAAATTCTCCAAGCCAGGCTTCAGCAATACATGAACCATGAACTTCCAGATGTTCAAGCTGGTTTTAGAAAAGGCAGAGGAACCAGAGATCAAATTGCCATTGTATTACCTCTGAACTATTCCTCTTTGACCAGGTTAGGTGGCCCCAGCTCTAGCAGGAAGGCCCGGAGCCAGGTCTTAGTTTCACCTCAGTTCAGTCAGGAGACCTGGGGTCTAGGTCCAGCCCTGCTGTTGCCAAGTTGAACCTTAAGCCCTTAATAAAGTCAAGTATGAAATCATGCAATGGGTTTTCACTAAGGGTCTCTTAGCCTGTGCCAAGCACTGTGATTGGAGTTGGAGCACAACTTAGTGTTTTACTGGTCTGGCGGTCAGAAGTTTAAAATCAATGTGTCTGCAGGGCTACATTCCATCTGGAAGCTTCAGGGGAAAAATCTGTTTCCTTGCCTTTCTAGAAGCCACTTGCATTCCTTGGCTCATGGCATCCCTTCCTTTCCTCACTTCTTTATAACCCCTTATTTCCATTGTCACGTCTCCTACTACTGACTTTGATCCTTTTGCCTCCCTTTTATAAAGACCCTGTGGTTATATTAGGCTGTCCTAGATAATCCAGGATAATCTCCCCATGTCAAGAGATCTTTAATTTAATCACAAAGTCCTTTAAACATGCAAGGTAACATATTCACAAGTTCCCAGTATTGGGACATAAATAACTTGGGGGAGCGATGGGAGTGACCCTAGAGGTTATCACAAAACTCTAGGTGCTTGCAACATTTGCAATCAGATTAGTATGCTTCAAAAGTAGAGTCAATAGGACTCATACACAATTGGCTGTGAACATTAAGAAGAGAAGAGGAATCAAGGATGACTATAGGCTTTTGATTTGAGCAACTAGGTGATGGTGATGCCATTTGCTAAGACAGGAAAAACTTGAGAAGTAAAAAGTTTTGTGAGAAGAAGAAAGGGGTTATTTTGGTCTTGTAATATCTGAGATTCCTATTACATATCCAAGTGGAACTATTAAGTAAGCAGCTACATACACAAGTTTGGAGTTCAGTGAAAAGGTAAAAGTTATAACTGAAAACTGGGAAGGCATCTTCATAGGCCCATGGCACTAGAACAGTCTGGTGAAAACCCCTCCTATAAAGCTGCCAGCACAAGACCACTCTGCAATGCCCACACTATAAATAGCCTCTAAAGATCCCTGGGCCTTGCTGTCACTAGCTCAGAAATCAGAGTCCTGGTTGTAAGCACCAGATTGGCCAATTACAGATTATATGCTTGAGCCCAGGCTTCCCTGCTGGCTCTGTGGTAAAGAACCCGCCTGCCAATACAGGGGACTTGGGTTCAACCTCTGTGTCTGGAAGGTCCCCAAGAGAAGGAAATGGCAACTTGAAGTATTTTTGTGTGGGAAATCCCATGGACACAAGAGCTTGGCACACTACAGTCCTTGGGGTCACAAGAGAGTTGGACATGACCTAGCAACTAAACAAGAGCAACAATGCTTGAGCCCTAGTTCTGGGGTGGATGAGGGAGTGACTCTCTGACCCTTTTATCTTCCTTGGCTTTCACCAAGACCCACACAATGGAGGATTACAAATAGGTTCAGATCCTGGAGAGCTGAAAGCCAGCATATATCTGCTACACAAGATCTTCAAGGTGCTGGACACATGGAAGAAACTGTGAAATCATCAGAGATTGAACATATTTGTGCTGTAGACTGCCAGGGAATGCGAGGGCTCACTTGATATTTGTGGTCATGAATTTAATTATGGTCATGAAACTAGTTACAGACTTGTGTGGTCCAAAGTTTGGCTTAAATGATGTTCCTTGTGCTTTGACCCTCTATTATTCACTGGACTTTGAGAAATGTATTTTAGAGGTATGGGCTTGGTGCTGCTGATACCAGGATGAAGGAAAGAACCCTGTGCTCAAGGAGCACAGAGCCTAGAGGCCATGACCCATCTGGGACCTTGTCAGGATTAGCCATCAAGGTAGACACATCTCACTGCTACCCATGGGCTCAGTCACACCTCAGTTCCACTCAAGAATCAACAGTCATGCAAGCCATCCTGTGTGACACCCCAAGGCTATCCTGTGACAGAACAAGCCACTCTTAGTAAAAGAAATACCATAGTCTGCCAGTTTTGCATCACATGTGGCCCAGTACAATTCAACTACCAACAAAATGTTCTTTGGGCTTTTTCTGTGGGAAGTGATTAACAGCACCTGTTCTGTAGTTCAATGGGTCTGGGTTCAATGGCCATCTCTACTACTTATTAATTATGTGACCTCAGGCAACCTCTCAAGTCTAAATCTCTTCATCAGCAAAGTAGTGATAATGACACTCAGTTCATAGATGTTATAAAGAGTTTGTAAAACACTATATTTAAGACCCTTCAGTTCAGGTCACTTCAGCTGCTCAGTCGTGTCTGACTCTTTGCAACCCCGCGGACTGCAGCACGCCAGGCCTCCCTGTCCATCACCAACTCCCAAAGTTTACTCAAACTCATGTCCATTGACCCTTCAGCTTGCTCTAATATAGTAAACATGGATACTTGCATTTAAATTAATATCAGGCATTGGCAGTCCAATGGTTAGGACTCAGTGCTTTCACTGCTGTGGGCCCAGGTTCAATCCCTGGTCAGGGATCTAAGATCCCACAAGCTCATGTGGTTCAGCCAAAAAAAAAAAAAAAAAAAATTGAAAGAAAAAATTCAGTTATTTCGTTTCACTAGCCACATTTCAAGGACTCAATATCCCCATGTAGCTTGGATAGTGCGGGTACAGATTAACATTTCCATTAGCACAGATTCTGTCGGACAGCGCTGCTGTGGATAACATTGAGGCTGGCATGCAGTGAATGCTCAGTAAAGAGTAATAAGCAGTGCTATAATTTATAGCCCAGCCACCTTCCTACCCAGGCTCCCTAGGTGGTGCAGTGGTAAAGGATCTGCCTGCCAATGCAGGAGATGCAGGAGGTATAGGAGACTAGGATTCAATCCCTGGGTTGGGAAGATCCCCTGGAGGAGGAAATGGCAACATATTCCAGAATTGTTGCCTGGAAAATTCCATGGACAGGGGAGCCTGGCAGGCTACAGTCCATGGGGTCACAAAGAGTCAGACATGACTGAGCACACACACAGGCACCTTCCATCATTGGATACCACCATCTTGATTTCTGCCATTACCCAATTACCTCCTGCATTATTAGTTAACACTTTTAAGTTGACTCATTTTGTATATAAAGTTTATTTAATATCATTATCATAAAACTACCATGTGGCCCAACAATCCCTCTACTGGGCAAATACTCTGAAAGAGCCATAATTGAAAAAGATATATGTGCCACAGTGTATACTGCAGCACTATTTACAATAGCTAGGACATGGAAACAACCTAGATGCCCATCAACAGATGAATGGATTAAAAAACAGTGGTATATACATATGATGGAATACTACTCAGTCATTAAAAGGAATGCATTTGAGTCAGTTCTAAAGAGGCGGATGAACCTAGAGCCTATTGTACAGAGTGAAGTCAGTCAGAAAGAGAAAAACAAAATTGAATATTAATGAATATATATGGAATCTAGAAAGATGATACTGATGAACCTATTTTCAGGGGAGCA